AACCTCATCCAATAATTGCTTATTATCATCATCATCAATTTCAATACCATCTTCATTATCATCACCAACTCCATCATCAGTGCTCATTATAATCATCATCATCACCATCATCGTCATCATGTTGTGTTATTCTTTCTTTTCCAGGAGTGTTTTCAGTTCATCCTTCCAGTCCTCCCTCATGCTTTGGGTAAGAGATGTATTAAAGCTAGATGAAAATGATTTTTGAAATTTGTTGTCTCTAAATTACCAGTATACATCTTTAATCTTTTTTCTCAAGAAATGTTTGAAATGGGTTCAAATGAAACTGTTAAAATACATAGAGGAAATGTAACGTAGAAATTGCATAAACACGACCAGCTAGCTGAGCTAGAGGTCAGACCGAGAGCAGGCCGGGGTGAAATAGATGTTAAGTCGCGGTAATTATGATGCTCTCAGTCTGACCTCTAGCTCAGCTGGTAGAGCATATGATCAGTAGTACAATTCTGAAGGTCGTGGGTTCGAATCCCAGCGAGGTCTGGAAATGAAATTTTCCGAAAGGGCTAGCTTACGCCCGGAATAACCTCGTTCCCAAGCACTACAACTTATCTAGTATGTTTCTATATATCTTCCATATATAAAAAGGATTTTTTTCTGTAGCCATGCCTAATATTGAGAAATAACAACTTTAGAAAAGCAACATTACATTACAACATGTACATTATGACTATTTTTTTACTTATAGATATCATAAATGGCTCCCCAAAAGCAACTGCAACACATAAAGCTATGGAAGCAAAAACACCTTCAAGCATTAGGTAACAAAAACAATTTTTTTAAAGTGATTAAACCTTCATTCCTGGAGTAACTTTGGTTTTATCTCACAGGATGCACCTGTACACGTTTGTCCTCACAAAGCTGGACGAGGTATTAAGATGAAACTCACTCAATGATTGAATCTCAGGGGTGTAGATTAGGTGTACGATTTATTATCAGAAGGGTGAGGAACAAATCATCCCTCTGTCCCCTCAACCAAAACTTCTGCTGCTTTTTCCTTTTCTACCCAAAGGGGGGGGAGGTTATTTAAGGCACCCCAGATAAACTTTGCTATTTTCGCTTAGGAACCATTTAAAATATTTGATAATTTATCCTTACACGTTTGTCCTCACAAAGCTGGACGAGGTAAGATGAAACTCACTCAATGATTGAATCTCAGGGGTGTAGAAGGTGAATTTATTATCAGAAGGGTGAGGAACAAATCATCCCTCTGTCCCCTCCACCAAAACTTCTGCTGCTTTTTCCTTTTCTACCCAAAGGGGGGAGGTTATTTAAGGCACACCAGATAAACTTTGCTATTTTCGCTTAGAAACCATTTAAAATATTTTGATAATTTAATTATCCTTAGATTAAGCAAAGTGGCTGAAAGAGATCGTCATCTCCATACCCACTGATGCCAATGGACAAAGCAATCAGTGCCGTGATGGAGCAAGCCAATCATCTTAGCACACACTTGATTGATGTACAAGGTATTTTTAATATATCATTTTGTGTTCCTGTACCAGCTTCATTTGCATACTGAATCCTCTGTGTGGGCTTCCTGTGGTCCTCAAGACCTTGATACCCAACATTTTATCTGTTGGCAATTTTTTAGCATTCTTCTTTATGGGACTGATTGAAGTAAGAAAAACTACTTGAAATAGTTCTATATTAAGGAAGGTAGTACTGGTATATCCTCCATGTACATGTACTGCAGGCCTTCCCACTCTAAGAAATGTTGTGTTTTATTGTATCATCTTATGAATGACATTTTGTCATTCTAGATGGATCAGATTGTGTTCTGGCAGAGGATGTTTGTTCAGCAGCTCCATTTCCTCCGTTCCCTGCTTCTATCAAAGATGCATGGCTATGCAGTCTTTAAGGTACAATATAACCCTATCGTCTTGTTAAAAGCAAATAGCTATTAGCAATTTTTAAGAAAAGCGTGAAACTCTTTATTTGTAAACAATTTTTGGCAATGTCTTCTACCATTGTCGGTTGTGACTAATATAGAATTCAAGCGAAGTCCCTCTATCTCCCTTGGTCACTGTCCGTCTGTCTGTCCATGTTGATTGGCTGAGGAGGATTGGTTACGAGTCAAATATACAATAAAGCTGCTGAATTATATTTTACAAAGGTTTTACTTCTCATGGGAATAAACATGGTGCAGTCTCTGAATATATAATCATCTGAATATATAATTACAAAAATAGCTGTAGGAAAATAACATGACTTAATTCTTTCGTTTATAGCTTCAGATGGACCAGGAATTCGCAAAGTTGTTGGTCCTGTGACGGCAGGTGAAATTGTACGTCTAAACTTTCACCTAAAATATTATATGACACTATTATGACAGGTGTATATTATTCGTCATAGACCTCCTCAGAAGTGACGTCAGGTCATGTGATGCGCATAACCACAGGTGCTCCTGTACCCCCTGGTTCAGATGCAGTGGTTCAGGTTGAAGACACAGAACTGGTGGAAAGTGCTGATGAGGTGAGACTCGGCACTTATTGATTTAGAAATTTAAACAGCTTTTTCCGTGCTAAGTTCAGTAATGAAGTACTCAAGATGTAAGCATGTAAGAAGTGTGTCACGTCTTGAGTGGTTTTGGTCAGTACTAATTAAGTGCTTTATTACTGAAGGGAGGACCAAAAAAACTTTTTTTATTGTCTTATTATTTTAAAATGTATAAAGAAAAAATCTGCTGCTGTTTTCTTACTATTCTCTGCAAAGTTTGCTGTGCATGCATGGATGGTGCCAGAAGCCCAGCAACCATGCTCTGTTCATTAAATAAAGCACAGTTCTATGCCAATCAGAGTGTTCATCCTGCCTAGGCTGTATGTAATAGATAACAGTAAGGTTGATTGTGTGATGTCAATATGAAATTGTTAGTCAGTCTATACTTTGATAGGGAAAAACTGAAGTCAAGGTGAAGATCTTGTCAACTCCAAAAGTTGCTCAGGATTTAAGGTAATAAGCAGTAAACCTCTATACACAGATAGACCATTACGTTTTCCCATTTCAGACCACATGTCATTCTTCATTTACACAATATATATAATACGTTAATATATTTCTTGGATTCATTTTGTTAAAGGCCCATTGGGTTTGACATTTCCTCTGGAGAGCTGGTTCTAAGCAAAGGAGAGGTCCTGGGTCCTGCAGAGCTTGGTTTGTTGGCCACAGTCAGTGTTACCCAGGTTAGTATGTGACTACGAGTTGATAGCATAAGATATATCAGCGTGTGTGTGTAACTTTTGAAACAAGAAAACATTACACTCAGACTAAATCATTCTACTGTTTGTTGTAGGTATCTGTTTTCAAGAAGCCTAAGGTTGCTATCCTTTCGACTGGTAATGAGGTTAGTAGAAAGATGGTTCTTATGTGAGTGAGTACACAGAGGCTACCCTCATGTAGCCCCTTTGCTATGCTGATATTTTCTACCAGTCACATACAGGAGGATGGGTTTTGACACTTCCATGCACAGAAAGAGGGGGTTTCAGAAACAAACTCCAAAATACTGCAGTATGGCTAATGATTAAGCTTGTGGAGGGATTAAAACTGAAGAACCCAGAGAAAATCCCTTGGATTTTTTTATGGAGAGACCCAACAAAGTCTACCCTACCCCTGATGCTGAGTTTAGGAATCAAACCTGAGAATATAGTGGTGATATCCTTTGTTTCACTTCGTGGTTGATACATTTTTACCCTCTTTATAAAATGGCACTGCCGCGCTACACCACCCTTTTATTCCTTGATTGATTTAGTGTTATTATGCTTAAGGTGGGTTTTCTCTGGTTTAACATAACAGTCTTATTCAATCACAATGTTTTTTTGTCACTTTAAGATTGTCCAACCCACAGAAAGCCCAAAGGCTGGTCAAATCAGGGATAGCAACAAGACAACCCTAACAGCAGCTGTTAAGAAAGAAGGGTTTGATGTTATTGACCTGGGAATAGCTCAAGATAAGTGCGTACCAGTATATTATATGTTTAACTGCAAACTTACGCAGATACCCATGGGGAATGAAGTATTGTGTCGTGACCTTAAAGAATATACAGATGCTTTAGAGAGAAAATAATTTTTGAACTAGTTATCTCTTTATAATTATTTCTTTAGAACCTGGTGTGCCATACCACCATACCAGGAAAAATGCTAAAGAAAAACATCACGTCACTGTTATACCTTAAAACATCTCCATGTGTCGGCATCCTTTTGATGACTGTGGGGAGGGGGGGGGGGGATTATCAAAGGGATGCATATGCCTGAAGAGAGGAATTTGGAGACATTTTAAGGCATTGTAGTATCCATAGCAACTAATCATGTATGATAATTAGCTGTTGTGAATAATAAATAGTTTGATCTAGAGATGGTGCCGAGTCACCACAGGCATGACCATGACATGACCATCTTGGCATGAAAACCTGTCATGATCAGCTGGGGTGGACATCATATTGACAACTTGATTTTTGTATTTTTGCCAGTCCAGAAAGTCTTGAAGCTACTCTTACCAAGGGTTTGACTGAAGCAGATGTTGTTATATCCTCTGGGGGTGTGTCTATGAGTGAAAAGGTACAGGTCTTTAATTATACCACAGGGAGCCCAATTTAGATAAAAGTAAAATTGGAAAAATAAAGTTGAAAAATAATGCAAAATTAATTATTTTTTTAATTTGACCTTTTAATGAAGGGATGAAATCAACTGGAGAAAAACTTGGACATGAAAAAACCATTAAAACTCGTAAATCACAAATGTGATTTAGCTGATTGATGAGTATCAAATCACTGATGTACCGATTGTTTGTTCAAGCTAATTTTTTCTCTAAGACTGTGACCTGCTTACTAGACAGATGAAATCAGTGAAAATTATCCTAGTTGGCCATGCCCAATGGGGGTTACTATAAGCAAATTGAATATTCAAAAGCCTATCCGGACTGCAAATTATTTGAGCTGCTTACAAACCAGTTCGCCCCATTTTTTTGTCCATCTATGCACCATGTAGGGGTAGAGGATGGAGACCTTGGCCCTGCTGTATGAAGAGTGGATAGTACTATTCAACATTTAATTCCTTATGCATTTCATAAAGTGATGCTGTTAACCAATATTTATCCAGTGAACAAGATTTATCTGTTGGATAGTGCTATGCACCTTTTGTACAACCAGGTTCAGGTTGTTTAGCTAGCTTGAGGTAGTTTCCTTCCCTGATAGTAGCCCAATGGAAGGGATGAAAACAACCTCTGCTTGCAGGGAAGTGGTTTCCTCCCTACAGGGCAGTTAAAAATGAAAGCGAAAGTTTTAATCACCAAGGACCACACACAACACAGAAATTTAAAGCACTGAAATGGCATGACAACTCAGTTTTATTTATAGAAACCATAATATGAATACACTTTGCAATTCTGTATTATTTTTCCTAGAGATGCCACTTCAATATTAAATGATATTCAACATTTGAGGAGGGATCGATATTTTTACACTTGAAATCGTAAACTAGATAAAAATGTCAAAGATTTTATAAGCTTGGTGTGAGCTAAATTTCTTTTACTATATAATACTTTATTCCGACTGTTTTGACTTTTACAGGTGAGCAATACACCATTCCTTTAAGCAAGTATAACAATCTGAGCTTTGCTTCTTATTTGCGTTCACCAAATCTTCCAACCATTTCCTGAACTGCTCTTCATCTTTCTTCAACTTCAAGAACTGTGCAAGTACCTCATATGCATAATCAAAGCCCTTGTCTTTAAGCTTGCCTCCAAGTACTTCACCGATCCCTGCTAGCTCTGTCACTGGCTTCTCGCGCATAGGCTCACTAACGAAATTCTCGTGTTTTTGCGATGTGGAATTCATTTCTTGATGATGCTAAACTTTGAAAAGAGAAATGAAATGAATGGCTGTTAAAAATAACAACACGACCTATAACACGAGGTATCTTTCTTCGATTTCGACGAGAAATCGAAGAAAAATACAAAGGAAATAGAGCGTTAATAATCGTAAATAGCTTTAAAATTCTAGGTGTATAAGAGGTACTTACTTGATCGCTAGAAAAATGATTTAAAGTGAGAAAAATACAAGATGGATCTTCTCCTTTCTCAGAAATATCAGTCAGTAGAGAACTTGAATCTTGGAATTTTACCATATATGGTAAGTTATACCAAATATGGTCATCAATCTCGTACCCAGAGCCCTTATTTCTTACTGCGCATGCTCGACGAAATAATTATTTCGTCGAGCATGCGCAGGGTTACTACTTCATGTAAGACCTCCAATCTCGTACCCAGAGCCCTTAAAATTAAATAATTTTAAATTTTTTTTTCTTACTGCGCATGCTCGACGAAATAATTGGCTCTGGAAAACTCCAAACCGGAAGACCCAGATTCTAGGTTTCTCGCACATGCGCATTATGACAGACTAGGTAAATTCAAAATGGCGGACGATGTTCAGCAAGCATGTGAATTTGCGCTTGGAAAATTAGGTTTTGAAGATAGTTTTCAGTTAAATTAACTCCGAAAATATCTATTGGATGGACATCAATACAATTTCCATTACAAAATCGGCAAACCTTTGAAAAATCCGGCCCTACAGGCTTTTTTGGTGTGCTTAATTGGGTACTACTTCATGTAAGACCTCATGAAGTGGCACTAATACCTCTTGTTTTATGGTGTGTGTGCTGGTGTGTGTATCCTTGTGGCTCCGTTGACGTTTTCATGGCTATCGTTACTGCTTGGCTTACTTCAGGTGCTTGGCTTACTTCAGGTGCTTTCATTACTTGGGGTGATTGGCTTACTTCAGGTGATTGGCTTACTTGAGGTGATTGGCTTGCTTGAGGTGATTGACTTACTTCAAGTGCTTGGCTTACTTCCGGTGCTTGGCTTACTTGAAGTGATTGACTTACTTCAGGTGATTGGCTTACTTCAGGTGATTGGCTTACTTCAGGTGATTGACTTACTTCAGGTGATTGGCTTACTTCAGGTGATTAGCTTACTTCAGGTGCTTGGCTTGCTTGAGGTGCTTTGCTTACTTGAGGTGATTGACTTACTTGAGGTGCTTTGCTTACTTCAAGTGCTTGGCTTACTTGAGGTGCTT